CTGAAAACTCAAAAGGCTGCCCCAGCGATTGGAGTTTGTCATTTTGTCTCGCGCCTGAGAGCCGCGGAGGAAAACCTGCCCAACGTGCGGGGTATCGCTGGGTTCGTTTGCGCTCTCGGGATTCCCTGGATGTTGGCTGGCGACTTCAAGGTCGATGTGGAAGCTATGTGGCCTTATGGGCATCCGCAGTCGGATCATGCTGGAATTATGGCACCCGTTGGGGGCGTTGGGGATCGACTTTGCATGTTTGCAAGGGTCTGGCACCATTATCGACTATGCGTCGGTCTCTCAGGACTTGGCCCCCTGGTGCAAAATGGTGTTTATGAGCGTTCAACCTTCCGAACCCACCGGTGCCTCATGATCCGATTGGCCCGCCGTGTGTTGGTCCAGAAGCTATGCCGTCGCATCCGCCCACAAGACATCCCAGTGCGTCGTGGACCTGATCTTCCGCGGCGCCGTTACCTCACGCAGGAAATGAATGCAACCGAGGAGGACCTGAGGACGGAGTGCCCTGTGCAGCTGGCGCGCCTCGCCCCCCATGCTTTCGAGCACCTGGGCGAGCGGGCATCTGTGCAGTATTCCCTTTGGTCGCGCGCTACCGAGCGCGCGTTTCTCTCTCGCGCCTGCGCGGCGATCCACGACGATGGAAGGAAGTGCGGGGGGGGGGGGGGGGCAGGCGCTGCGCTTCAGCCTGTCACGTGGCCCATCGCACAGAGGGGAAGAATGGCAACGGCGCGTCGCAATCCAGCGCGGGCCTTCTGATCGAGATTCTCGGCCACGCTGTTTGAGCTTCGCGCTCGTCTTCGGCGAGACTCCACCGAGTGCCGTGTCAACGGCTTGATCATGGATCTGATCTCTCGGGTTTGCGAGTTCTCGCCCGTCCTGCCCGCCGCTCAGCCTGTCCCGTGGTGGGCCAATCTTCCTATCAGGCCTGGGCTGATGCGCAAGAGGTCGATCGCCTGGTAGAGACCTGAGATCACCGCGGCTGGAAAGTTACTTGAAGTGTGGTTGAATTTTTGCAGGCCCCAGGAGGGGGTAAACAGTTGCCTGGAGAAATGATGGATCATCGGGCCCAGCTGCGGGAGGGCTTTTGGCAGGTCTCTCACAAAGATGTGTTGTAGCTAAGTGACGCCATGTCTGACCTCCGCGGTGTCGCGTTGGAAGCCGCCCAAGAGCCCCCCCCCCCTCTCACTGTTCAAGGTATCCAAGTTTGTCGGTTTTTCTCTGCCACCACCGCCGTCGGAGTCGACGGGTGGCGGCCTCGCGCTGTCGCTGAGCTTCCAGCTGATGCGTTGGATGCAATGGCGTGACTTTACTCACTCTGCGATGGGGCGTGTGGTCTGGCCTGAACAGACCCCCCCGGGTCGAATGGCGCCCTCGCCCAAGTCCTCGGAGCGACACATCTGCACGTGCCCCGCCCTCTACCGCTCGTGCACCGAACTTCGGGGGACAGACATTGACAAGTGGACTGCGGAGCACGTTGCGTTCTGGGATACGGCGGTCAGAGGATCGCCCGCCCTGGTAGCGACGCTGACTCGTGAGCTATACCACGAATGTGCCGCCCATGGGGGATCCATTTCTGTGGCCTGGACAATCCGAGACTGAACATTAGGCTCGCCCTTCAGGTGAAGCGCCCACCCCATCTGCTGTATCTGGGCACGCTGATCCACGCGCCTCCTCGCACGTTGGAGGTTGACGGCAAAATGTCCCGCGCGTTGGAAGCGGGTCAGGGGGCCCTTCCAGGTTGCCCCCCGAGCATGGCCGGGGTCAAAATTTATGTGTATGACGCCTTGGGGGCCTGTCAGTACCAATTCGATGGCGACATTTCGAGGGTGGTCACTAGGGCGCATGCCGACGGCATTGCGCAGAATGTGGCTGGCTCGGAGCACGAGCTCCAGATGCATCTTCTGCCAGCTGCTACGCACTCCGCGCGCGAGATCGAGCTGCCTGGGCCGACGATCAGCACTAGGAGCCTGGGGACTTCCCACCCGCTGTCAGTCAAATGCTCGGGATCCGGGGTCGCGTGCGACGGCTGGAGGCAAGCGGGCGGTCCCTGAGGTCAAACGTCGGAGGCTTGGAGCGCGGCGACGCGCGAGCAAGGTTGCCACCCTTTCCCGCATTTGCCGAAGGGCGTCCAAGCTGCACAGACCTGGCGTTTTGTCTGTCGGGGCCCAGGGTCATCAACTGGTGGGCATGTCGCCGCGCCAGTTGCAAGCTGCGCGGGGCCAATCGGGCCGATGTTCTGGGTAGTGGGCCACAGGCTCTTGTTCGACGACAGTTTTGGCCTTGGTGTCTAGTAATTCGGGCGATCCCCTGTTCCGCTTGCGGCGCGAACAGCTCCCCAGTTTCGCAGACTTGTGGCGCGAGCTGGGCCCCCAAGATCGCATGCGTGTTCAGAATGCTTGGGTTGCTGCCGTTGGCCTCCTCTTGGGTATCCCGCCAGCTGCTGTTGGCGGCGGGCGCATGGGCCTGTGACGGAGACGGTCGCCACCCTCTCATATTATTCAGTGGGCCCCCGCTTCCCCCTGCGAGTGGCAAGACTGGTTCGGTTTCTCTCTGAAGGTGGACACCCTGGACTTTCGGTTCTTCCTTTGGAGGGCCCTCCAGCTTACCTGCACCCAGTGGATCTGATAGACAGCAGCGGGGCATTACTCTGGGGCTGGCGTCCAGGAGGGAGTTGATTTCTCGGTGCCTCGGCGGCCGTTGAAACAGTTTGGTCGGAACCTGATTCCGAACCCCAAGCTATTCTGCGTAATGCACTCGCTGGAGGCTTTTGGACCGAAGCCCGCCTGTTTGAGGCAGGGTACGCAGCGACTCCTTTATGTCCCAGGTGCGGTCTTCAACCAGAGACGCCAGTGCATCGTTTTTGGCAATGCACGGCCAACCACGCCCTGGACGATGCTGCTGTCCGGGCCACAGGTAGCTTGTCCCAGATTGCGATCGATGAGAGCACTTCCCTTACCTCCCTCTGGTGTCGAGGATTGATGTCGCCCGATCAGGTAGTAAAAGGGCTCCCAACACCTCTGTCGTCTGTCTGGGCCTCTGGAGCTCTCTAAGGGGCCTGCCTGTGGCGGGCGGCGCTTGGGGGATCGATGGGTCGGGGGGCAGCGAAGCGAAATACTGGAGACTAAAGAGGTGTAGTTGGAGCGCGGTTATGCTTCATGCCAACGAATCTGAATCGGCGGGTGGTACATTTGGAACAATACTTCCTCCTTCTCAGAGCTCACCGCGCTCTGAGCTGTATGCCGTTTTATTTGTTGCTTGCAATGACAACGGGTGTTATCTAGGTGAACTCTGAATATCTCCCAGCGGTGCAAAGTTTTCGCAAGTCTCCTGAACATAATGTTTGAAGTAAGTGTAGTATGTTGAATATACGGGCCAAAATTTGGGCTCGTCTTGGGACGCGTTCGGGCATGGTTGATCTCAGTTGGACACAATCCCACCCCTCCCGGGCAAAAACCGAAGACATACAGATCTCGAGAGTGGAACTCATTTTGAATAATGCAGCCGACCTTTGTGTTAACGAAGGAGCCCGGAGGGGCCAGTTGGGATCACAGGATATTGAAGCGGTCCAAGCCGCGGACGCACTCCAAGAGAAGATATTGCCGCGCCTTCTTGCCATCCAGCGCGACGTACTTCTCACTTGTTCCCGCGAGACTCTCGAACAGAAAAGTCTCGCGGCAGCCCGTAGGATGACGGGCATCTCGAGTTCGGAGGCTATACAAAGACGTTGGTTGGCTGCTGTTCAGGATGTGCCCAATCTTTTTCACGAAAAGAACCTGTGTCGCAATTCTGGCCGAAAGTGTGTATTCCTCTGTCCGGGTTCGGCTAGGTGTCAGGGGAGTGGACTCCCCAGGACCAGAGGGACCCCCGCGCCGAGCCGCCTCCGCTAGTGGTGGCGGATATCCCGGCGCGCCGCTCTCCCTCTGATCATCCTTTCTTTCCATCTGTCCATCCATCCCACACCCTCGCCTCTTGTCAAAGTGTGCTGTACTGTCTTGCTTGTGGAGCCCTCTGCGAGAAGGGCGGGAGGCCTTGTCTCGCCTGTCGCGTGGAATCCCACCCAAGTCAGGTACGAATTTCCCGTGAGGGGATGAGCGTGTCATGCGCCCAGGCTTGCTCATGGTCACCGCTTTCAGCGCCATTGCAATCGCAATCTCCTCCTCCTCCTCCTCCTCCTCCTCCTCCTCCTCGCCCCTCCTCACTCCTCCTCCTTTTTCGCGCCTTTCTTCTCCCGCCCGTCGTCTCGCCGCACCCCGTCCCCGCTCCTCCCCTCCACGAAGACATTCTGGTCAGACACAGCCTCCCAAACGCCTCCTAGGCACCACCTTTCGACCCCATCTCCGAGGCGCGCCCAGGCGTGGGGACGAGGGAACCCTCCGAAGGCATAGGCAAGGAGGACCGGGAGGCGGCGGCGAGGCGACATCGGGCCGAGTCGAACCGCACCGAGCAGAACACACTGCGAGCACACTACCTAGCAGTGTGCGCTCTGTTGTGCGCAATACCAGGGAGAGAAGGCTATTGAGGAGGAGGAGGAGGAGGCGGAGGAGGAGGCGGAGGAGGAGGAGGCGGAGGCGGAGGACAAGGGGGAGGAGGGGGAAGACGGGGAGGAGGACGAAGAGAAGGATGAGGAGGAGCAGGCGGAGGAACCCCTACCCTCCCCCGAGCAGGCCCCCGCGGGTCCCGGAGGCTTCCGTGGAAGTAGCACCAGAGGCACCAGGATGTCACCAGGAGGCTCCAGAGGCGCAGACGAGGACTTCAACTATCAGGGCGTTCAAGAGGGGGGGCGTCCAAGAGGGGGGGTCGCAAACCATGGCCCGAGGCATATGCGCGGAAGAGGGGGGACCGGGGGACGCATTGGAAGAAGGAGAGGGGCCATGAAATCTGGGGAGACATCATGGCCCCAGCCATGATATCCCCCCCTGGTCATCACCCCGCTCTCGGACGGCTTCAAAAATAGGAGAAACCTCGACAATCGAACCTCTGGCCGGGGGCGGCGCCATATCCGTCTTCGGCTCCTTGGTCTTGGGGTTCTGGCAGAGGTCGATCGCCTTGGCAAGCGGCTTCGTCTCCTCCGTGCGGCGCCGCGTCTCGGCTCCTCCTCCTCGTCCTCCTCCTCCTCCTCCTCCTCCATGTCCTCCTCCTCCTCCTCCTCCTCCTCCTCCTCCTCCTCCTCCTACTCCTCCATGTCATCCTCCTCCTTCCCCTCCTCTTTCTCGTCACTCTCCCCCTCCTCCTCCTCCTCCTCCTCCTCCTCCTCCTCCTCCTCCTCCTCCTCCTCCTCCTCCTCCCCCGTCACACTACCAGACGTGTCGGGCACATCGCCTGATACGTCCTGACAGCTTATGACTCCGAAGGTAAAGATACACCACAAGGTTCACACATTGAGATCGAATCGTCATCAACATGTGACTATCACATCGGCCTAGAGCACAGCTGTTTTACACATGTTTACACCAACTGCCAGGATGGAGGACAGCCCGCTTTCAAATGTGGCTCTCGTTTGGACACTACGTACATTTGTGCGCGATGCTGCCTATCGCTAGCAAGATATAGGGACGCCCGGTGTCAAATATGGCTCTCGTCGTAACGCCCTGTTCTTTCGTCATACAAGTGTACGGCAACTGCAGGGATGAAGGGGGGCTCCTGTTCAACATTTGTTTACGCGTGAGACGTCCTTGAACATTACTGCCCGAAGCGTAGCACGGTGCGACAGTCACACGAATGGAGGGCGGTTCCTTTTCACACTAGGGCTAGCGTTTCAGGATTCAGTTTTAAACGGCGGGGTAGAACTTGAACATGGACCGACCGTTCTGTCCTATAGGCCTACCACGACATGTTCTGAACATCCAAAAATCCACACAAGGTTCTTAGAACCTTCCTTGGCGGGCTTATAGGCAAGCCAGGACGCTTCGACACTGCTTGAAGAACGGCGCAACAGTCAAACAGGTGAATGGCAACTTCTTTCCAAATTTTGTTTTCGCTGGGGATTTCGTCAACACGTACGCCCAGGGCGGTACCAAAGTGCAACAAAATGGAAAACAAACCGTAATGTTAGGTCGGGCATGTCCTCCTACAGGCGGATGTTTGGCGAACTTACAGTAATCAAAAACATACACGTGTATATATATATACACCTAGAAAGATTGTCTCCCTACGATTTTTGGATTACTTTTGTAGACCCCTGCCGTAGAGGGGCACGCCCGACTTAAACGTGATGCAGCATGTCCCGTCGCTGCGCCGGCCCGCGCAGCTCTCCATGCGGACCAAGGGGTCGGGCCGACGCAGCCACGCGGGCCAGGCGAAGGACACCGGAGAAGAAACACGGGGGAGCGAGGCGCCGAGGAACCGAGGGGAGGCGAGGAGAGGGTTTGGATTCCAGCGTGGGTCTCTGCTGAGAGGGTCGTGAAGCGAACGCTGAAGCACAGATCCTGCCTATCTGTGCATACGGCGGTCTGGCGACCCATCCCGAGCTCACGATATTCCTCCAAGCTGTGCAGGGCACTCTGTCCTCTGTACCCCCTCCCTGTAGCACGGCCTCACCCCGGGAGGGGCCGTGGATTCCGAGAGAGGGGACGGAAGGCGACAGGAGAGGTCAGCCTGGGCGGACGGAGGAGGGACCGGGAGACGGAGCAGGGACGCCACCGGGGGGGGGAGAGGGAGGGGGAGAAGACGGCACGAGACACAGGGGCAATGGAAGGCGAGGGCAAGGGATATATTGCTCCCATCGCACTTAAGGACCACATGCCAGAGATGATTTCGAGGGCCCGGAAGAGTGTCGAGAGAGTGTCGAAACAGTGTCGAAACAGTGTCTCCCAGGGCCCGACACTTGAACATCCTCGAGTTTCGGTACTTTTTCTCCTGGTGCTCGAAATTGATTCTGGTGCTCAAAGCTAAAGTAGGTTGGAACATCACAGGGCAAGGGGAGAAGACGGAGCGGGAGAGGGAAGAGGAGGAACGCGCGGGGCCAACGCACGCACAGGAGGAAGAAGCACAGAAGGCAACGCTGCGATGCGCACGTGCGAGCACTGGCAGCCTGGCGCTGCATGACTTCTGCGGCGCCACGGGCCACCACTACATCCGTTCAGAGCGACATCAGACGGGGAGAAAGACGGGCGGGGAGGAGGGAGAAGGGAAAGGATAAAGGCCTCCTAGACTGAGCCCGGGTAGATGGGGTCGGAGGATCGCGCCGCATCGCCGATACATCGGCGATGCATCGGCAATGCATCGGCGATGCACTGGCGATGCATCGTCGACGTCGGCGTGAAGCAAAGCGGGCTGTACATCGAGCCGCATCGGCGATGCATCGACGATGCGGCGCGATCCTCCGACCCATCTACTCCGACCCCATCTAGGAGGCCTAGGTGAGCGTTTTTTAGTTCGGCGTTTCGACATTGGGCGGAAGGGGCGGGGAGGGGGGGGGGGGTGGCTCCAGGCCTCTGCTTAGTGCTGCTGTTTCCAAGAGTGCCGCTTCTGGGGGAGACTCCACCCGCTCGAAACAGGCGCCAAAAAACAGCCAAGATCTACTCTATGGGGGGGAGGGGGGGTTTTGGGGCCCGCGCCGATCGGCAAAACAATGAATCAACAAAAACGATCACCTAGAGGGGAGGGCTTGAGGGCCCGGTTGCACCTCGCTTCATCAAGCCGGGGGCCTCGCCCGAGCACCCTCGTCCACAGGCACGGCCCGATGTGCAGCTCGGCCGGCAGTCCCACGAAAAGGCGGCGGACCTTTCCCAAAACGGAGCTGTCGCTGGGCATGCCCTCGAGCTGCCTGGGCCACTCGCGTTCGTCAGGGCAGCTCCTTGTCAAAACGGAGCCCGTGTCCGAATCGCAGGCCCCTCGGGCGCTCGTCTTCCAATGGGGGGTCACCAAAGCGTGTGTGGGGGCTCCTGAGGAGGGGACCTGGGGTGTGTTACAGCATCTTACCCTTAGGTCGGGCACGTCCTCCTGCACGGGGGGGCTTCGGTTAGCAAAACTGGGTTTAGTGGGACCTGGTTCAGTGATGTGTACTGGGGGACGCCCCCCCCCCGCCCGTTCCACTAGTTATTCTGGCTAATTTCAGGGCCCAAGGGCCCTACAAACCCCGATAGGTCTTTAGAAATCCCCTGGCCAGTAGATGGAAAATAAATCTCTTTCGGGTGAATTCATTGACAACTCGGAAAAACGACCCGACGCGACAATAGCGGAAAATAATTATAGTTCGGGCGGTCCGACGACGAAGGCGAAGACGAAGACGATAACGAGTACGTGTGCGATTACGACTACGACAGCGATACGACGACGAAGACGAAGACGCATGTGCGCGGCGCTAAGGCGAGAGCTGGATTTTGAACCACACCAGCCCTCGATCCTTGTAACTGTTACAAACTTGTACGACGAGAGTGCGCGGCGCGCTTGATCTGCACTTTGAACAACACGAGCCCTCCATCCTTGAAACTGTTGCAAACTTTTAAGACGAATGTGCGCGGCGCTATGGCGAGAGCTGCACTTTGAGGAGGAGGAAGAGGAGGAGGAGAGGTTTCGGGAGCGGACGAGTTTCGGGACAAGTTTATTCACCGCGGAGAGCTCCAGGGGGGGGACCAAAACTAAAGACGTAAAGAGGTTACTAACCGGGTCCCCTTACCTGGGGTCCTGGCCATACCCGAAAAACATATTCAAAAATAGTCAAAAATTCGCAGGCCCAACGGGCCAGAGGCGTGCTAAGATCTCTGGTAACTGGTTAACAATACTTCTAGTTCGCGCGCGCGGGGCGGCCCCTGGGGGTCCCCCGGCGAAAAGTATCCCGACCGCAGCCCGAGCAGGTCTACTCAGAGATGGTTTTGAGGGCCTTTTTTTCGACACCCCTCACGAGGATCGTGGCCTCCGAGGGGGGTGCACCCGACTACCCCGCCCCAAGAGGCTTCCAAGAGCCCCCCAAGAGGCCCAAGGGGGCCCCAAGACGCCGCCAAGGAGCCCCAAGAGACCCCCAAGAGGCCCCCAAGAGGCCCCTAGGAGGCCCCAAAGAAGCCCCCAAGAGGCTTCAAAGAGGCCCCATAGAGCGCTCGAGGGCCGGCGGAATGAGCGAAGCGATCAAATATACTAAAAAATCGACCCCAGACTATGTTTGACTACTCTTGGATACTCCTCCTGTAGAGGGGCACGCCCGGCTTAATCTTACCACTTGCGGACGGAGGTCCTCCCATTGCACCGTGACTGGAAAAATCGGTCAGCATCGGCTCAGGCCGCATCGGCCCGGAATCGGCATCGAATCGGACCGGCCTGCGCCAGGATGCACAACAGCGCCATGCAAGCCTCGGGCCGCATCGCCTCTCCAGGAAGTCGGCATCGACTCGGATCGGATCGGACAAACTCTGTGCCGAATCGGACCGATCGGATCCAAACGGGGCCCTGGACTGGCCCCCGTTCTCGGGTGGGCGTCTTCAGGACGAGCCACGTGGCGCTCCCACCGCGCACCGGTGCGTCGCGCGCGCGCCGCCTGCCCTGCGGAGCTTTACTGACCGCGGCAATCCCCGCGGTGCACCGAAGGCCGCCTGCAGCGCCTGGCCGCGAGTGCTGCGAGGCCGGGGGGGCCGACTGGAGGGCGGCGCTGCGCGCGCGCCTGGTGCAGCGCCCAGGCCCGCCGGACTCGACTTCGGAATTCGGGCGGCCTGTGCGCGGACCGCGTGTCGCCGCGCCCCCGCCGTTCCCTTCTTCCCCCCCTCCCCCCTCTCCCTCCCCGACTGCCGTTCTCTGCCGCTGGGCTGCTTGGGCGGGCAGGACAAGCGGTGCAGACTGCGCCGCACGGGCCGCGCAAGTGGTTCTTCCTGTGGGCGCTGCGGGCCGCGCAGGGTGCGCACGGGCTGGTTGCCAGCTCAGGGCGAACTTCGTCCACGCGTGCTGGCGCCGCGAACGAGAAGGGTGTACGGCAGATTCGTGTCGTGACGAGCCCAACGTTGGTTCCTGACACCGTGGGGATCGTTCAACCTTGAAGGATCGGCCATTTCCGAAACGTCGGATCGTTCAACATCGATCGATTCTGGGTCGCTGGCAGCGTTCAACGTTGAACGCTGGCGGCGGAAGCGCCGCTGGTCGACACGACGCGACCTTACCGTAGAGGACTGCAAGCTCGCGCGCGCACCCAGAGTCGTGGGCCGGAGGGCACCCTTTGCGCTCTCCCTGCCCGAAAACCCTTCTCTGCCCATACGAGCCCTCCGCCTCTCTGCATATCATCTGGGCTCCCTGAGGGCAAGTCCTATGGGCGCTGTCCTCAGGGCCTCCCGGGCTGAGCAGGCTCGTGCATACAGTCGGACTTGATTGGACAAGACACGCGAGAGAGCACAAGACCCTTCCGAGGGCCACATGGCCAAAGGAATGCAGAAGGCACAGGACATAAGGGTACCCTTGATTTGTCGGGGTCGACCTACTAATCAGGGCCCTCTGTAGGGCCTGCAGGTCGGAGAGAGGAGCTCCGCCCACAGGGGGGAACCATACCCGATGGGCTACAGACGATGCCCCCCCGGCTCCTCCCTCACGCCTCTTACTCCTCCGTTCTTCCCATCCATCTCCCTTCTCCCCCTCATCCCTCCTGTTGCTCCTTCGCATCCCCCTCCATCCTCTCTTCCGGCTCTCTCCTCCCTTATCCCCCCCCCCCTCTCCTCCTTCTCCCCTCTGCTCCCTCCTCCTCCTCCTCCTCCTCCTCCTCATCCTCCTCGTTGCCGGCGTACTCTGTGTGACGAGGCGTGGGGGCGGCGGGTCACAACAGGCGACAGAGAAGGAAGAGGAGGAGGAGGAGGAGGAGGAGAAAGAAGAGGAGGAGGAGGAGGAGAAGAGGCAGGACGGGCTCCGCCTCCTCCCCTTCCTCTCCCATCCCCACCTCCCCCCTCCTCATTCTCCTCCTCACCGCCAAGAGGAAACATGAGGGGCATGAGACCGCCCACACAAGCGATCAGCTCCGCTATCTTGGATCGATGTGCAAGGCCTTACCGAAAACCGCTTGGATCTGACCCCGGAAGCGGTCTCGCCAATAGGGGCATCTCAATGGTTGCCTGATGCCACGGGATACTCGTGCCCGTTCCGCTGTGTGGGGCTTGGCCGAGATATCCATCACAGAAAACCCCTGCCATTTTGCAGACCACTGCAAAAGGGAATCCGCTTTCCCACTCAGGGCTGCCAGCCCTCAGGGGCCCAGCTTCGCTAGGACAGCCCCCATGGAGTTGAGCAAAGAGTGATGGGCAAGACTCCACGACAACACGGCCATATCTCGCCCCCCGCTTTGGGACGCGGGGCTGACTCTCCCCGCCCACCGAAATCCGCTCCACAACGGTTTCTGGTGATGGTGGTCTACCCGTGTCTCTTAGAGACAGCCGAAACAGGCCTCCTCCTCCTCCTCCTCCTCCTCCTCCTCCTCCTCCTCCTCCTCCTCCTCCTCCTTCGCTTCAACCTCTCCCCGTTCTACCATACTCTTCATCTTCTCATCCTCCTCTTCTCCCAGTCCCCATGACCCTCCTCTCCTGCTTCCTTCGCCCTCTTGGCCGATCTCCCTGCTCCGCGGTCTCATCCTGCTTCCCTACAGGGGACCCACAGGGGGAGATCCTGCGAGCACCACGACTCGCACCACAACCACTCCTGCGGCAAGCTGAATATGGGCACGTTGAACTGGGCATAGTTCGGCAAGTCCTCCGCCACACCCGCAACAAGACGCCAAGCATAAACCAACGCCAATTCTGGCCAAGGTGTGTACACGGTCGAAGTCGAAGCTTGGCCAGGACGACGTATGCATCAATCCTACTTCCAAGATGAACCTGACGACGGAGTTGGTGTATAGGGTATAGCTGGTATCCCCCAGGATCTCAATAAGAAGGAGGGTGAGGGGGAAGGAGGAGAAGAGGGAGGAGGCAGACAAAACAAGAGGGAGGGAGAGGATGAAGACAGAGGATCATAATAATGATGAGAGCAGAAGGAGCAGTGCATCCACATGTCAGCGTGTGTTTCCGCCTAGGCCCTAGGCCCGACAGAGGAGTGCACGATCAAGACTGCCCCAAGACAGGCCAAAGAGGGCCCCAAGACGCTCCGAAGGCCTCCCAGACGGTCAAAGAGGCACTCGAAACGGCTCCCACAGGGGTCCCACACAGGGTCCCCCAACGAACATTTCGAGCCCGCAGCCAAGAAGCCCACAGGAGGCCCCAAGAGGCCCACAAGAGGTCTCCAAGAGGCCCCAGGAGGCCTCCAAAAGGACCCTAAGAGGCCTTCTAAGAGGGCCCCAAGAGGCAACCATCCAAACGAACAATCTGGAGGCCTATGACCTACAATCCAGGCGCGTTGGTGGGGTGGGCCAAAGGCCATTCGTCTTGTTGCATCGGATGTTGAAATCGGCGATGACGCGAGAGCAGGAGGAGGAGAAGGAAAAGGAGGAGGAGTACGAGGAGGAGAAGAAGAAGGAGGAGAAGGAGGAGAAGGAGGAGGAATAGGAAAAGGAAAAAGAAAGCAAATCATCAACAACGGTACTGAGGCCTGCAGGCGCGCCCAGACTCCAGACAGCCCCGCGAAGGCCGGCGGGCAAAAGGAGGCATACCCTGGCGTTATGTCGGGCCGGTCCCCCTAATTACAGGGGGATTTTCGACACAGAATGCAAAATACTACAAAAATGCACCAAACAGGCAAAACAAATACTCAAAAAAACATCCATACAATGTTTGGATTATTTCTTTGATTATTTTGGATTATTTCATAATTTTCGTCGACAATCCCCCTGTACGTGGACAGGCCCGACTTGCGCCTGGCGCCAGGCGCAGGGCGGTGCGCGCGGGAGCAGCAGGCTCGAGGCTGGCGGCGCTGGAGGGTTTCTCCGAAGGGCTCAGGCGACCTGTCCCCCTCCTCCTCCTCCTCCTCCTCCTCCTCCTCCTCCTCCTCCTCCTCCTCCTCCTCATTTCCTCCTCCCCCTCCTCCTCCTCCTCGTCCTCCTCCCCCACCTCCTCCTCGTCCTCCTCCCTCCTCCTCCCTCCTCCTCCTCCTCCTCCTCCTCCCCCTCCTCCTCCTCCTCCTCCTCTCTTCTTCCTCCTCCTCGTCCCTCCTCCTCCACCTCCTCCTCCTCCTCCTCCTCCTCCTCCTCCTCCTATTCCTCCTCCACCTCCTCCACCTCCTCCTCCTCCTCCTCCTCCTCCTCCTCCTCCTCCTCCTCCTCCCCCTCCTCCACCTCCTCCTCGTCCTCCTCCTCCTCCTCCTCCTCCTCCTTCTCCTCCTCCCCTCCTCCTCCGTCTCCTCCTCCTCCTCCTCCTCCGTCTCCTCCTCCTCTTACTCCTCCTCCTCCTCCTCCTGCTCCTCCTCCTCCTCCTCCTCCTCCTCCACCTCCTCCACCTCCTCGTCCTCGTCCTCCTCCTCCTCCTCCTCCTCCTCCTCCTCCTCCTCCTCCTCCTCCTCCTCCTCCTCCTCCTCCTCCTCCGTAGCCATTTTGGCTCAAGGCTCGGGATAGGTGCTGTGCCGCCAGCGTTTTGGATTCGGCCGATTTGCCTCCCGAGCCCAGTCGCCAGGCGCCCGCTGTGCGGGCCCTGGTGCATCTCCCATGTCGCCGCAGCCGTGTCGCCCACTGGGTGCGACCCCTGCGGCCGCCCGCCGCGCGCGCGCGAGGTGTGTGGCGGTGCGGCGCGCGCAGGTCGGCGCGTGCGGCTTGCTTGGGCTGCTCCGCCATGCGCGCCCCGCTCCTGGCGATGCAGTTCCTGGCGGCGCTGACGGCGCACCGGTTGCCACTCCTGGTCGCGAGGATGCCGTGGCCGTGGCCCCCGAGATCGTGGCCCTGACCTGCATGCCCGCTGCCGCTGGCGCTGCCCTGGTTGGGCACCTTCTGGCCGCGGCGGCTCCGAGCACACCACTGCGCAGCCATGCGGCGGTGTACATCCCTGGAGGCCTCCGCGCTGATGTGGGCGGTCATCGGCATCCTGGAGGTCGCGCCGTGCTTCATTCCTGTGCCGCTCCTTTCGTCTCCGAACGGGTCGGAGGCACGACGGACTCCCTGGTGGAGGACTCCCTGGAGGAGGGCTCCCTGGACTCCCTGGCCGCCATACGCCTTCCCCGTGCCGATGCTGGGCCTCGGGATGACCTTCTCCCTCGCGGTTGCGGTCACAATGCTCGGGCGTCCAGTGGGGATCAAGTTCATGATAGTGCTGGTGGTCTCCGTGACGCCCGCCGTGTTCCTGGTGATGCCCACGCTGACCTTGGGGGAGGCGTCTCACCTGGTGCTGATGGTGGTGTTCCTGGTCGTGCTCTTCCTGGAGCCGGTGCTGGTGCAGTCCAATCCCGCCGTGCCGCTCCTGGAGTTGTTGGCGTTCCTGACCCCGCACCTTGCGGGCGAGTGGTCGAGGGCGCCGCCCTGCGGGACCGCACCGACGCCCTCCTCGGCATCCAGAGCCGCTATCGGCAGCTGGCGGCCCAGATCACCCGTCTGAGGATGTTGGTTGAAGTGAAGGAGAACGAGCAGGCTGCTGCCGCGGCTGTTGCCAGCGGCGTCCCCACCGCCTCTGGCGGCGATGGGGGTGCTCCGTCGCCGATCGGTACCAGGAGTGCCGACGCCCACCTCCTGCGGTGCTTTGGGTATTTTGTACGTTCCAGCAGCGTGGCTTTCCTGGACGACCTCTGGGAGGAGATTGCGGACGGCTTCATTCCGTGTGCCATCTGTGATAGCCGTGGCCACTGCAAGGCGCACTGCGACCCCGCCTTCGATTGGGACATGCAGCCTCTCGCGGACATGTCGTCCAGGCGTCGGACGTTCTCGGCCTGAGTATTTTTCCGTGCGAGTGCTGCCGCCGCTGCTGCTCGTCTGCCAGTCTGGCGGGGAAGGGTGGTGCGAGGTAGTGGTCGCAGGCTGGGGGATGCCGTTGGGGGCCCCTCGCGTCTGCGCTCACCGCTTCGGGCTGCCACGTCTCCGCCTCGTGCTGGCGCGCCGTGGCTGACTGCAGGGTAACGTCCCCGCGGCCAGCCCTGGCGCCATGACTGCCTTGGGCAATCCTGTGCTCTTCCGCTCGGAGCCCCGCTGTGCTCCGCCAGTGTTTTGCTTGCACGCCTCCCCTGACGTGTGCATTGCTGCAGTCGGCCTCCGCCGTCGGCTGTCTCTTTTTTATGTCGTCGCGTTGTGCGCCCTAGCCCCTTTTCCCTGCTCGTGCCCTCTGCTGCCCGCCGTCTCTGCGCACTCGTTTCGATCTGGTCGCGCCTCCTCCTCCTCCTCCTCCTCCTCCTCCTCCTTCTCCTCCTTCTCCTCCTCCTCCTCCTCCTCCTCCTCCTCCTCCTCCTCCTCCTCCTCCTCCTCCTCCTCGGGTCGCCTACGGCCCCGGGGGAAACCGTGCAGGCGGCGCTCGGGACAGCAAGCGCGGGGGGAGCACGGGGGCATCCGGGCACTCCAGGCGCGAGGGCGCCGAGCGGGCCCGGGCCCGCCTCTTCCTCCTGATCCTCCTCCTCCTCCTCCTCCTCTCCTCCTCCTCCTCCTCCTCCTCCTCCTCCTCCTCCTCCTCCTCCTCCTCCTCCTCCTCCTCCTCCTCCTCCTCCTCCTCCTCCTCCTCCTCCTCCTCCTCCTCCTCCTCCTCCTCCTCCTCCTCCTCCTCCTCCTCCTCGGGTCGCCTACGGCCCCGGGTCAAACCGTGCAGGCGGCGCTCGGGGCAGCGAGCGCGGGGGGGGCACGGGGGCCTCCGGGCACTCCAGGCGCGAGGGCGCCGAGCGGGCACGCATCGTCGAGCCTCCAGCGGGCGCCTCTGGAGCTGCAGGGCTGGGCCCGCGTGAGAACCGGGGCAGCAGCTGGCCAGGGGGAGAAGTGGCCCGCTTTTGGTGGGGGGCTCGGAATATAAGCCTCCAATCCAGACAGGCTGTCTTCTGGCCTTGGCGGGAAGGTGGAGATGGAGGAGGAGGAGGAGGAGGAGGAGGAGGAGGAGGAGGAGGAGGAGGAGGAGGGAGGAGGAGGGAGAGGAGGGGAAGGAGGAGGAGGAGGAGGAGGAAGAGGAGGAGGAGGAGGAGCTGGAGAACACCGAGACGCGGTCGAGCGCGGTCTCTCGCGCCCGCCGCACTCATCCCCGCGAACACCGCGGACGAAGCGGCGCACCTCTGCGCGGCGCTGGGCGTGGGGGCCCCTGACCGCGGCCCCTGTAGCCCCTCTCCCAGGTATGCCCCCGATGGGGCTCCCGTCCAGGGTATGGGGCGGGCCCGCACCCCATTAGGAGCTCTCAGGAATGCCGACCCTTCAGAGTGGCGCACCCCGGCTGCAGCGGGTCCGCCGCGAAGTCCTCCGGATCTGGCATGCGGCCTCCGCAGAGCGGGGAGTGGCGGTGGCCAGGCGCCCGACGAGCTCCTCAACGCGTGCGGCGATGGGGCCGAACACAAGGGAGGAGGTGGCCGACACCCCACAAAATTGAGATCAAAACTTGAACCAGCTGCGCGCCAGCACGCCCGCCAGCCACACGAGATACGTCACTGGAGCGGGCATGCCTCGCCCGAGGGAGGCATGTTCCTCGCCACAGTCCCCGCGGGCGTCGGCTGAACGGGTCCTGCCACTGCGCCCAAATCGATCCTTGGGCTAGTGTTCACCGCGGACCGCCTCGGGATTCGCGACACCTCCATGTCGCCGAGAAACCATTAGCACACCGCGTCGCCTGCCCAGCTCGCCGCAGCGGCCAGCGGTTGGGCAGTCATCCCCCGTAGGGGCCCTGGGGCCGCGCCCTCGGCGCCATCAGCGGGCCCGTCCGGCGGCGCTGCAGCGGTGCCCGCTACCCCATCTGTGGGCGCGGCGCGGCCGTCTGCAGGACCGCGAAGATCGCCTCGGTCTCCGCGAAGCGCACGAAGCTCCTCGACGAGGCCTTTGACGTCGGCACACCACAAGGCCCGCTCCGCCGCCTCGTCGTGCTCGCTCGCGCGATCCTCCGACTGTGCGTCCGCCGCGTCCGCCTCCTTTTCGGCTGGTGCTGCAGCCTCGGCCACGTCCGTGACGGTCTCTCCAGCTGCGGGCGGCGCACGGCTGCCAAGCCCGCCGCTGCCGCTGGGCGCGGGCTCGCGCACCGCCTCCAGGGGATGGGCCATGGCCGCCCCGAAGCGGGAGATTGCGGACCCGCGGTGGCTGGCGACTTCGGCGAGCGCCGCAGGCGTGTGGCGGCCCGAGCGTCCGCCCGCCAATCCTGGGCGCGTCTCCCAGCCGCAGTGCGATTGGGCCGCCGCTGGCGCGGCGCCGCGGACGCGGGCGTCTCCATCCCGGCGGCGCGCGGGAGGGAAGAGGGAGGCGAAGGCAGGGCGGGGGGCCCCGTGGCGATGGCTCGGCGACGGGAGCGCAGGGCTCGGGCCGAGCTGGCGCTGGGAGGAGGAGGAGGAGGAGGAGGAGGAGGAGGAGGAGGAGGAGGAGAAGGCACAGCGTGCCGAGGTCGGGAGATTAGACCCCTGCCTCACTTCGGGAAGGAGGAAGGATTAGGATACGAGGGAGGAGAAAGGAGGAGGAGGAGGAAGGAGGTATTCCAACGAGGATCCGAGTTGAGTTGACTCCAGGCAACTTCTGTCTGCTGGCGCACACTGCTGCGCGGGGAGAATGGTGAACTTGCACTCGGCGCTGGCAGCATCCGAAACGCACATCGGGCAAGTCTGTGGGACGATCGACTCAAGAGGGACCTCCACGGCCCGCGTCAACACGAAGGCGCACCGCATCTCAGACCCAGACCCCTCTACTCTGGGACACTGTAAAGGCAGGGGAGGTGGGCGAAGGGAGCGGGACAGAGCAATTCCCAATCCCTGCGCCTGCAGCGGAGGTAGTGCCGCACTGCCCACTGGGCGGATGCTCGAGAGGGTCAGAACAAGAAAAGGGGTAGGGCAGCGCTATCCATTCCCAACAAGTGGCCTACGACAGGCCCTGCACCCAAAGCTCGAGGAGGGCGACGAGGGCGACTTGCCAAACGTCCCATAGCCCAGGTGTTCCTAGAGGAAACTTCATCACAAAACCCGGCCAGGCAAGACGGCATAAGGTGATCCGAGCAGGTCTGTACATGCAATGCGAGCTTGCCCTGTCGTGTTGGCCTTCAAGCGAGAGCTTGTCGCACAACCAGTAGGATCGAGGGACGGGAAGGAACGCGTCCCAGACCCCCCCTCCCCCCGCGACTGCGGTGCATTGGTGACCACATGTAAACCCTACCCCCACCACCCACGATCTCTAAGGGGGGAGGGGTCATTTCGTTCAGGAGGCCCGGAGTGGAGTGAACCCCCACCCCCCTAAGAAATCGTGGGGAGGGGTTAGGCCGGGCATGTCTTCCTACAGGCGGATTTTGGACGAGAAATGCGAATAAGATTCCCCCAAAACAGAAACAATAAGCAAAAATGGTCGAAACAAATCGTCCCCAGAATTTTTGGTGTGGCTATTCTTGAACAGCCCCCCCTGCCAGGAGGCCATGCCCGACTTGAGGGCAGGGCCCACGTGCGGCCACTGCAGGCCCTGCCGCGCCGGCGCGCCCCCCTCCTGGTCGAGGTTGGCCAGCGAGCCCGGGTCCTCCGCACGCGGCGTGGGGCGCGCCGCCGCCGCCCATCCCCGCCTCCGTGCCTCTCCGCCTCCCCCCGCGCCGCTCTCGCCGTGCCTCGGTCGCCTCGGCCCTGGGGGAGCCAAGACTCGAACCGAAAAGGCGGGTCGGCGGTCGAGAGGCATCGGCTCGGCGGGAATCGGCAGCCGGGCCGGGAGAAGCCGCTCTCGCCGTGCTTGCACGTGCTGCGTGCCTCGGTCGCCTCGGCCCCAGGGGAGCCAAGACTCGAATCGAAGAGTCGGGTCGGCGATCGACAGGAATCAAAGCGGCGGGAATCGGCGGCCGGGTCGGGAGAAGCCGCGTCGGCGGACATCGGCAGGCTGTAGTGGGCCTCCAGTAATGAGTCGGGGCCCAGATCGGAATCCGAGGTCGAATCGAACCGGAGGAATCGAGGAGCCCCGGCTCCGTGCCTCGGCGCCGAAGCACGAAGCGCACGGACGCCGCGCCCTCGCCCCGCCACTGGCGCGACGGCAGGCTTGTAAGGCCCAGGCCGCCAGGCGCGAAGGCCTCGCTGTCCTCGCGCCCCCACGGGCGAAGTGGCCCACCTGCGCCCGGCCATCCTGTGGTGCCGGGTCCTGGTTCTGAAGAGACAGCGCCCCGCGGCCTCCTCCCCTTCCACCTCTCCTCTCCTCTCCTCCTCTCGCCCTTCCCCTCCTCTCCTCCTCCCATGCTTGCGATGTCGGCGTTCCCCTCACAAGGTTCGTGGCCCCATTTGGAGCTCCACCGAAGGCCCCAATGGCAAAGCTGACATGCGCCCTTCCACCCGTTGCGGCGCTCCCCTCACACGTTTCGTGGCCGTGGCCCCGTAGGGAACTCCACCGAAGACGGCACCCCTAACTGTGTCACCCCAAACTGCATATGGTTGGGTGCTTCGCCAAGATATGCGTTTGTTGTTGTAGGTTTGTTGGTTGTCATCCCGTTATCTGTCACACTATCTCTCAATATCCCTCTCTACTCGACCGCGCCATATTATATATAACCTGCTATCTCCATCTCGTTCACACGCACGTGTTTGGTAAACCTTTCTGCAGTTTTGTTCATCTTTATAGTATTCATATGCGTGTCCAGATGTGTACATATAGAAGTATAGGTGTCGCACGGTACCCCTCACTCTCTCTCTCTCTCTCTCGAACGTTCGCTCTATTATCTCTCTCTTTATGTTGTTATCTCTCTCTCTCTCTTTCGGTGCAGACGTTCTTCTATAGATGTAGGCCGATTGGTGTGTATACATATGTAGGTCTGCGTATGAATGAAGCTTATGCTAGCATCTCTCTCTCTCTCTCTCGGTCTGTCTCCCTCTCTCTCTCTGTATCCCTCGCACACCCACATCGCCCTATCCTTATTTCCCTTCCTGCTACGCATCACATCCTTGCCTACACCCGTCACTCTCCCATTTCCCCCGATCTCACACACCTCCTCTCCATATCCAACCACGCTGGAGAACAACGGAAGAGGAGGACGAAGAGGAACAATGCTGGAAAATGGCGACAATGATGATGGTGATGAGGTGGATGATGAACTTGCTGTGCGTGTTGGAGGGATTATGTGTTTTGTTTTTTTGTGTTTTTTGTTGTTCTCTCTCTCTCTCTCTCTTTCTCCCTTTCTCCTTCAGGCAGGTTGTGACGCTACCCTCCTGCTCATGCTCACGCCATGGAAAATCGTTCCTTGGGATTCCCTGGTAACGATCACGCCATGGAACATCGGTCCTTTGGAGTCCCTGATAACGATCACGCCATGGAAAATCATTCCTTTGGAATCCCTAGGGGAAAGAGGGACTCGCGGGACTATATAACTGACTTGCTGGACACGCACAGCGTTCCTCCAACACGCTGTGCGTGTCGGTGGGAATGGGAGAGCGAAGGATATGTTACCATGTGGATGATAAGGAGGAGGAGAAGGAGGAGAAGCGACACATTGCGCTGGGGGACGGGGAGAAAGGATGAGTGAGCAAGGGCATGGGGATGAAAAGTAGGGAGAGTGGAAGGGCAGCGCAGTGGATTGGAGAGGGGAGGAAGGGGATGGGCCATGGGTGAGGGGATCATGAATACATACAGATATGTAGATGCGAATGAGAATTACTCGTGTCCCATGCTCACACGATGCTTCCTGTGGAGCTCGCCGCAATGCGAAAGGGCACATTCAAGTACAAGCTTCGCTGGCATTGGGCCTGTCGCTGGGGCTTGCGCCCTGGCACGCAGCAGCTCCACGCGCTGGCCGTGGTGCTCGTGGAGCTTGCGGCGCTCAAAGCCAACCAGGCGCCGCGCGGCGCCGCAAAGTCGCGAGTTCGGCGTCGCTGGACGGCGCCGCGCGCTGCGCGGCCCCAGCTGGCCCCGCTGCACCGCGCGGCGAGGCCTGCGGCCGCCCCGCGGCCCGGCCGCCAGCTGCCCCGCCAGCTGCCCCGCCCGCGCCCGCGACCGCGGCTCGGCCGCTGTTCGCCACCACGCCCGGCGCCCGCACGCGTCGTCCAAGGGGCCGGGCTGGGTTGCCTGCCTCTGCTGCGACGGATGGGCACCTTGCCATCGCTCAGACGTCCATTGCTGGTGTTTCTTGATTTCCCGATGACGTCCGGGCGATGCCAAGGCAAGAGTGGCGGGGGCTGGCGAGCCGGCCGTGCGCCCGCAGGTCGGCGACGCTGCCTCCTCGCGCGGCGGGCCTGCTCCTGCTGCCCGCGGCCCGCGCCGGAAGCGCGGAGGCCGACTGGCGGGCGGCGCTGCGGGCGCGGCTCACCGCGCGCCCTGGGGCGCCCGAAGCGGCGGGCGAATTAGTGGAAGCAGCGGCGCCGCCGCATGCGTGGAAGCGGGCCACGCGCCCGCCGTCCCCGTTCCTCCCCCTCTCTCCTTCCCCCCCTGCTTGTCCCTTCTCTCTGCCACTGGGCAGTCCTCGTGCTCGCTTCACCAAAAGAAATGCTCGCAGCGGGACTGCACGAGCAAGGGTCGCCTTCGCAGGCCGCGAAGGGGCACCACGTGATCGGAGTGGCCACAAGGCTTGGATGATGGCGAACGCCGCTGCCTTCTCTTTCAGGGTGGAGGGCCTGCGGTACACTGTCGGGCGGGATGGAGAGCCGCCGAGCCCCGACGCCGCACCGGTCAAGAACCACGAACGTCCGCACAGTCTGTGCACAACAGCAGACGATGCATGAGCTCAATGTCTCCTCGCGGCGACCACTGGGGCGCAGTCAGGCAAACGACCCGCGGCGTTCCGTGCCGCCGCTACGCGCCCATGGCCAGAAGGTCTTGGAAGCGAAAATCCTTGGGGGGGCGATAACTGAGGGGGGACGAAGTATGCCCCTTTCGGGCCCCACAGGCCCCCTTTGCGGCCCTGAGGGGCCCCTTCAGGAGGCCCTGAAGAGCCCCTTGTCTGCAGCCCTCGTTGCCCCCCCGATCCTCGCCCCCCCTCGCTACGCGTCCTCGGAAGGTCGGAACATCGTGACGGTCTGGGACCCCGTGGGGGGCCCACCGTCCTCGGCGTCTGCTCGTCGTCCCCGCGCAGAGGCGCCTTGGCGCGCCGTGCGCCGCCCGAGGAATCATAACTTGGCTGGCCCCGTCGGCGGGCGCGGCCCCCGGAGGTCCTCAGTGGTGCGGGGAGCTGCGGGGGAGCCGTGGGCCGGGACCACCTCTTCGAGCCTCCGGGGCACGTCCTGCGCAGCTCTCTGCCGAGGCTCGAGGGCCACGCGGCTTCCTGCGGGTCCGCGGCCCGCCAGGCACAGGACTGCGGCTGCTGCGTGCCATCGTTGCAGTGGGAAGACAATGACGACGACGACAACGACGACGAGGACGACGACGACGATGATGGTGATGATGATGATGATGGTGATGATGATTATGGTGATGATGATGACTATGGTGATGCTGATGGTGGTGGTGGTGACGATGAGAGTATTGATAAGGGCAAGGAAGATGCATCAGGCATACATGGGAACTATCCTCCACCGCCAACCCATGCCAGCGCCCAACCCCAATAAAAATGTCCCCTCTTTTCGATCGCATGTTTGGCACACTCCTTTCGGTGCCGACCTCATCCACACCTTCCGCTCACGTTCACCCCAACCGATTGCACACCCGCCGCCAGAAATCCAACAGCTTGACGCTCCGAGATGTGAGCCAGGTATCGGCTCGAAAGGACTACAGCGGCGAAAGACTGGCCGTCTTGATCTTTCGGGCCACCATATGTCTGGTTACAACAACCTTGGGATGTCCTCCAGGGTCCCCGAGGTTCCTGGAGGTGTCCAGAAAACAGGACATGACAAAACAAAACAACACAAAACTAGCATCAAACCTCGAATATTACCAAATGAGCCACCTAACTTCGCGCGATGCGCGACGCATGCATTTTTCTTCGCGCCCTGGTGCCGCCCGCTTGGCGAAGAATGTATCTCCGCGCGAAACGCGGGTATACTCGCGCCCCTGCGGGTGACCTGGCTACCACTGCTCCTACCTGGACCCCCTTCACCCACTCGAAACACAGCACAAGAGGTCCCTGGTGAGCGAGTTGTAGGTGGTCCGCAACTTGTCGCCCACCGACTGCCTTCGGAATTCCTCCCCTCTGCCCGGGCCCCCTGCGAGGGCATCACGGGCGCCAATGCGCAGAGGACAGGTGCCGACACGGAAGGACTGCTGAGTTTCGCCCTTGACCCTCGAAGATGGAGGCGGGATTTATTTGCGTGTTCGTTGGTGGGTGGTAAAGGCATTGGGCACGTCATCTTTGCTTCTCATTCGGCGCAGAATTCAACTCACGAGTGGGCAGAAATCGTGACATCAAGATGAATGTTCATCTACCTGAAGATCTGGCCGTATGGCCTTTTACCCATCAATATAACTCATTGTGTGCCTCATCCCTCTATCAATCTATCTGCGAAGGCCAATACCCATCGGAACAACAAGGAAATCCATCGGGACAACTATTATGCCAATCCGTATGCCTATCTATTTATCGGACTATCTTTGAATATGTCTCACGAGCAATCTGTCAATATCGCAATCAATATGTCTGCCAATATCACTAAATATACGTGTATACATGAACACCTAAATAGAATCCAGGGCAACCATAAGGACCATTACTTCTCGATCGCGCAATTCATTTATCTGTCGGTATCACAATTCGTATATCGGGGCAACAATCGGGACAACCGTCGGGACAATCATCTGGACAACGATCACAGATCTACAGTTATATATGCATATATACATAATATACATATGTGTGTATAAATTACACGTCGCTCATTTCATAGCCTGCTCTTGTCTAATTGTGCTCGTTTTCAATTGTTCCTGGCCCACTAATGACCACGAAGAGGCCCAGGATAGAACACTAAACAATGTTAGGATCTGGGCACCCCAGAAGATAAAAAACTCTCGCATACTTAGGAATGAACAGTGTGTGTAGACATCAATGAATAGATGAATGTGTCAGACATGAAAAGGGTTCAGATCGCGGTGGAACGGAGAGCCCCCCACCGCGAAATCGGTTTCGATTTCGTGTTCGTGTCGTGCGTGCGGGCAAGGCGAAGCTGCGTGGGCGGGGGAAACGAACGAACCCTCCTCTGGCAAGGGCACCGCCGGGCAAAAAGACCGCCCCCCACCTGTGTTGTCCGGCGTTGGTCAGGGGTGCCCCGCCGTGATGAACCGCCGTGGTGCCCCGCTGGCGTCCCGCTGGTGTCCCGTCGGTGCCCCATCTGTCTACCGTCGGTGTCCCGTAGTGAGATCGATGGTGAGATCGATCGTGAGACCAATGGTGAGATCGATAGTGAGATCAATCGTGCGATCGATGGCAATATCGAGATGTAGATCGAGAGCGAAATATGTGTCATCGATAGTTGGATCGATAGATAGATCATGAGATTGACAATTTTTTAGATCATGAGGTTGATAGTAAGATCGAAAACCCCCTGGGATTATAAAGTTCGGGGTTCTGGCGGGGATAATGCAAGATTTGCCCTGGGAAGGTAAGTTACAGCGTGTCCGCTGTGGGTTGCGGCGATCGCCCGACGCCATGAAGACATGAAGACACGACCTCCCCAAGACCGACGTGAAGACATGAAGACACGAAGACATGAAGATATGAAGGGACGACGATCGTAATGTGAGCTGGTCTGGGCAGTCCTGGCCGACGACATGAAGACGTGACGACCTGAAGATAAGCTGCCCTGGCCGACGACCTGAAGACATGCAGACATGAAGACATGCTGCCCTGGCCGGCGACATGAAGACATGAAGAGTTGAAGACACGCTGTCCTGGCCAACGACACGAAGACATGAAGAGTTGAAGACATGCTGCCCTGGGCGACGACATGAAAACACGAAAACACGAAGAAAACCCTATCGGGTATTTTGGATCTTCGGATATAGACGTAAAGGGGGAGAAGGAGGAGGAGGAGGAGGAGGAGGGCAGAGGCAGGACCAGGAAGGGAGGGGAGAGGGCACATGCCGTGCGAAGAGGAGGATGAGGACGACGACGAGAAAGGATGAAGGAGAGAAAGAGGGAAGGAACGGGGAGGATGACGATGACGACGAAGGAGGGGGGAGGATGACGAGGGATGCCGGGAGGGAGGACAACGACGGGAGGGCGGAGGAGCGCGAATTTCCAGTAGACAGGGCCCAGGGGAGAGGGAAGGGAAAAGGGAAGCAGCAACGACAGCCTGGAACAGAGGAGGGCACTTCGGTTCTGGATCGATTTCCGACGGCCCTGGGGCCCGAGAGCGGCCTCCAGAGGCCGAAAACGACGAATAACCTCCTCGACCCTCGATCCTCGAACCTACTCCTTCCTCGATCGTGATCGGCCGCTCGAGCGCTCCCTGGCCGCGCAGCCCTGTTGCGGCCAGCTCCGAAACCCTATGGGAGGCGCGCTGCCTTCCTGGAAGGCCGCTGCCCTCGTCGTCGTCGGCATGGTCGTCGGCATGGTCGTCGTCGCCGTTTTGTCGTCGTCGTCGTGGTCGTCGTGGTCGTCATCCGCCAGCTCCTCCTCGAAAGTCCGAGCGTTCGAATCGCGCCTGGCGGCAGCCATCAGCTGATGCATCATGGCCTTCTGGTGCAGCACTGGGTCCTGGCCCGCCCACGCCGGGATCCACGGCTTATTAAAGTGGCACCAGTTGTACCTCAGCATCGAGAGCCCCGAGAAGAGGTCGAAAAGGTCTACCCGCATCCACTTCGTGCTTTCTGGGAAGTAACTCCTGAACTGCATCCAGTGGCGTTCGACGGGAATCGCCCCGGAATGGACGGGGTAGCCGGCCCTGTGCAGGGCCAGCGCGCAGCGGCGCCACCGAAAAAGACCCTGTAAGCACAAGGGCTTAACCAGTCGCCTGTAGTGTGCTGAGGTTTTTCTCGTCCACGCACTCTTCCTGCCCTTCACCTCGGCGTCCCCGTGCGTGCGGTTGAGGCCTCGCCGGGGGCGGGTGAGTTGCCCCCCCCCCGCGTAGCAGTCCTGGATCATGCGAGCCTCTCTCTTAAACTCTTTCTTGTTATCGAAGTTCCAGTAGCCGCGCGTCTCGGCAGCGTCGACACCAAAGCGACGGGCCAGACGGGCCAGCGCCGGGCGGGGCGGCTGGGCGCTGCAAACGGAGTCCCAGACGGCTGTCGCCCGGGCGACCGCGGGCGAAGCAAGGAATGTTTTCGCGGCCGAGGCCGCGGCGCTGGGTGCAGGGGGGAGGTAACTCTCGAAGGCCTTGGCAGACATCTCGGTGGTCTTCTTCAGCAACGCGCGCCCAGCCGCGCTGAGCCGCGGCACTCGCGCGCTCAGGCGGCTCTCCCGGCTGCAGCGTTCAGGCCGTTTGGGGGCGCTGAGCCGGTTGAGGAGGTCCTCGTGGTCCCGGAGAAGGTTCCTGCCGTCGTCCGCGCGAGGGGACACCAGGGGCCTGAACCTGATGACATTGTGCCGAGGCTCGCCCGCCACGCAGGTCAGGCGGTCCGAAGGGCGCTGGTCGGCGCCCACCGCCTCCACGCGCTCCACAGGGCCTCGCGGCGTCACGCCCTCAGGCTGGAGCCGAACTTGCTGCGTCACATCGCGGAGGAGGCCGCGCAATTTCAATCGGTGCTTCCCGAAGCCGTCGGTGGACACGAAGACGGGGATGGATTCTTCCAAGGATAGCCCAGCCGCAAGTCTCCCCGCGATGATGGACCGCAGCAAAGGGCGCAAGGCAGCCTCGATATCTGCCCAGGCCTCGCCCCGCGCCGGCACTGCTGGTTGCAGGGGGGCGCCGTCCGACCCGCAGAACCCCAGCAGGCAGGTGTACTTCCCCCTCTCCCACCGACGGGTCTCAGAATTCCATGTCATCACTATCTTGGCCACCTTGAAGTACCCGTCTAAACGGATGCCTTGGCCGCTGTACGCGAAAAGGTGCTGCTGCTGTTCGTGCACTCTCCGCTTGACCAGAGCCGAGAAGGCTTGGCATGCGATGCCCCGGAGCTGAGACGACTTGGGGAGGGACTCCAATAAGTTCATGATGCGGTACTCGGCGGCTGACCCAGGCAAGGCGGTCGCGAGCAGCACGTCCACCATGCGGCGGCGAGCGGCCCGGAAGTTCATGCACTCGTACAACACCGTCAAGTAGTGCGCGAGCCACCTGCTGGTAAAGTATGTCATTCCGCCGTCCTTCCCACCGCTGTAGCACAAAGTGCCTGGGTGGGATCGCTGCGCGTCCTCTGGGGCCGGCGCGAAATAACGGCCTTCCGCTGACGCCCCCGCGCTGGGCTCACTGAAGCCGCCGCCGCCATGGCACGTCCTGCACGTCCATGACCGGATATCCAGCTCCACTGGTGAAGGGTGGTCCCAGATGACGGCCGCCATCTGGCTCGAGCGCCCCATGTCTCGCGCCTCGCGCGGCGCCACCGCGTGGCCGGTAGCTGCCGCATGGCCCATTTCGGCCTGAGGGCGCACGAGACATACCCGGGGGGATGTCGATGCCGAAGCTGTCGAGGTTGCCTCCTCACCTATTTGCGTTGGCCGCAGGCTGTGAAGGTGATGCTGGGACCGAACCAAGGAGTCGTGCACACTGGCGGGCGGGCTATCTTCGCCCGTGTATGTCAACCATGGTTTCTGTCTTCGGATGCACACCACGTGGAACTTGTATTTGACGTCCGTGAGTTGCGAAGCCAGGCAGGTTTGCCATGGGCCCACAGCGTGCGTCGAACTGCAAGGCCCAGATTTCACCGCCACCACGGCGCAGTCGCACTTCGGGAAACCCCTGAAGGTGAATGTACTAGCAATGTAGACCTCTTCTCCAGCCAGCGTGGCCGTGAGACCCGCGGCCGGGCTCAGGTCTCCGCCCGTGTTCAGAGCCAGGGGGTGCCGGGGGAGATTGCAGGACATCAGCCGTTGCAAAGCCGGTAGCGTGCGGCCCGCCTGCAGCCGAACTGCCCGGCGGACCTCTTGGTCCACATGAGCGCTTGCTGGGGCCCGCGCGCCCCGCAACGTCTGCGAGGCAGAATCTATTAAGTGCTGGTCATCGGTGGTGGCCTCTGGGAGGGGCGCCGCAGCGGCCCGCTTCCGCTTCTTCCGTTGGCGCTGGGGAGCGGTGGCGGGCAACGCCAGCGGAGCCACG